CCTAATGACGGAGCAAATCGCAAGACGACAAAAAAGACCCATGTTTTTTTTTCATATGTGCTAATAAACAAACAAAAAAAAGAAGCACGATCGGTGTTAGTGATGGGTTTGTCGTTGTTCCTCTTACAACATCACAATTATTTGACTAGGTTTTCTAGTAAACCTCGTAGCAACTTCCTCCATACCTCGCATTGGTTTCCAAGTCTTTTTTAATATTTCACGAGTGTTGTTTCTATATCTGACTAAATTGGCCAACCATCAATCAATCGTGGCAGCAATACTTAATTCTCTCGTTTTTTGTACATCGTCCAATCCAACTAGTTTATGCAAGCGTCGCGGTCAATATGGGCCACACTTGAGCTGTCCATTAAGTTTTGTGGGGCTGCTTTTACTACTATTGGCTTTGGTTAGGATCTGCATGGAGGTCCACTTTACCATATAAGTAATTACAATGCGTCCTGGCTAAATAATCAGATTTTATTTGCAAATTCATGCTAGTGAATATCTACCTAAAGGGATACAAAAATCGGATTGACGGAGTAATGGGCGAGGCCAACCTTTCTGGTTGAGGGCGAAGGCAGCCTCGCCTGTGGCTAGCGAGGCCGGGCGAGGGCCGCGACCCTCGCCAGCGGCCCTCGCTCAGTGGCCAGTGAGCTCCGGCGAGCCTCGCCAACCACTGTAAAAAAAGAAAAGAAAAGAAGGAAAAATATAAAATGAAAATAAAAAAAAATTAACAAAATATCCACATCAGCACCGGCCGTATCACGTAGGACAGTCGACGTTCACAATAGCAAATTCCCGTCCAAAATGGACCGGATGAACTATATTGGCAAATCGTTAAAAGGTTTAAAACTAAATTAGTCAAATTGAAAAGTTTATGACTAAATTGGCATGGTTTAGAACTTTTTTTTGGTAACTTTCTCTCTTCTGATATGGAATCAGCCATGACGCCTCATATGTGACGTCGCTGTTGCATACCATTAAGTATATCTTGAGAAAGTAGGGCAAAATGTATAAAAAAATGTTTGGCGGTGTCATTATAATAGGACAATCATTTGCGTGATAAGTGAGATTGATTGATTAAATTAAAGAGCAAGGGAATTTCGGAGTTCCTTCCCCTTTCCGACGTGCAGGAAACATCCCTACTTTGTTGGCATGCAAAAGAGTAGGTAGTATATAAACAATATATGGTGGGTGCCTGGTGGTGACTCGGATATCATATCGTGTTGCCAAGTCGGCATCTAGTTACTTTTGCAGAAGCGGTTAATAGCACAGGCAGCATATGACAATTTATGGTGATTTTCCACTTATGGTGACTCGGATATCTTGGATGGATATATTGGATCTATCTTCCGATCGAGGTGTCCAGATAGTTAGAGAGATATGCGGAAGAGAGTAATTTTGTATATTTCGATATGTTATAATGAAGATTACATCAGCCTTTTTATAGGCTTTATGATATGACAATATAAGGAAATCAAATCAGATATACATAATCAAAAGAAATATAGAAAATCATAAGAAATATCCTAAATATCCCTAGAAGATTTCTAAATATCTTTAATAGAGATAATGCCGGTGCGGAAAGATGCATGGATTAAGGGGGGAACGGTCCAGACACAGAAATCCCACACGTGAGGGGAGATCCACTAAGGCGAAAATGTGAAAGTATTATGCAAAACAAGTTCCACATTAGGGATGTGGCGTAAACTGAAGCGGTCAATATATCACAACAGCTCATAATTCACTAGCTCAAATTTTTGAGTGACGGTGGAGATCCAACTAAATATATTCACGGGTTCGAACTCGAAATTTCCATTGGCGATCTGCCTAAGTGAAAGTATCAGGTTTCGGTTGCACCTCCTAGCAAACGTGTCATAAATTTCTCCTAAAAAGTAACATGGGATACTCTAACAAAACTGTCTTAAGCATGACCTTAAAATGCTTCATCTTGAGACTTACTTGGACCTTGAAGTCCCCAAGATGTAAAGTATTAAGAGGGTATTTTCTCCTTCCTAGGAAAATAAAGATCATGGGAGAATTGGGGGTACGTGGTGTATGGGTACTGACATGTTAAAATAAGAAACGCATTCATGGAGCCCATCGTCCCTGCATGCAAACGGACAAGTCGCAGAGACTATTGTAGGGAGGTAACCTATTAAATCAAATATCAAGGATTCAAGGAGAGTCCCCGGTTCAAGAGGATAGTTTAAGAGATGATGGGAGTACATGTGATTACAATTGAAGGTAATATCAACTGATTTCTGCATAGGAACTTTGACCTGTACAGGGAATTTTATTTGAAGGACAATGAGACGATCGAGCCATGTTGCTATTGGAATGAGTCAGACGAATACACGCATGGGATGAGGAGTTGGAGTTAGGATCTCTTAAAAAAAATTCTTCAGCAGATGCACGTATTGGTCTCACGCTGGAGAATCGAGGAAGGGGAGTGGCAAAGTCCGACTTCTGCACAGATTACGAAAAGCATCACGCAGACTAAGTCAATTTAGAGATCACGCGTTTGTGGAAAGATTCACGGATCTCGAAGTTGATTTTAGCAAACTAGGAATTTTATTCCATTGACGCGGCGCCGTTACGCAGGAGGAAATTTTCCCGTTACCAATTTGTATTCGAGAAGGTTGAACTAGTAAAAGTACCATTCTAGAAGCATTGGCGTGAACAAACGAAACTATTCGAGCAAGAAATGAATTGCAAAACTAGCATATGAACATAGGATTTATGTAGTTTGGTGGTGTCCCGAACCCCAGGAAACATCGGTCAGATGGTTCTACTATGGATAACAAAGAAAATATTACAATCGTTCGCAATGCTCACATTCAAGTATTTCCCCATCATAAACAAACCCAGACGTGCAAGAATCAATTGCAAAAGAGGTGTATTCACACACTCTTAATTCTCTTGGATGATGGGTCTGAAAAGATTTCTAGGCTTTCATAGGTTTCTCTAATAAAATAAGCATTGGAAATAGAATTTTAACAGATTCAAATCGGAGCTGAGCTCTCTCCAAGGCAAGCCCGAGCGCCTAGCTACTGTTTAGAAAACACAATAGGCACTGGACACTGTCCGGGAGCTCGACCGGTTTTTTATGAGCCTGGCGGGCTCCACGCGGGCCATTCCCACGCATTTTTCAATCATCCGCCTCTGTCTTTATACCCCTGCAAACACTCGTGTGTCCCGAAAATCATGAGCTTGTGTCGATTCCAAAATGAAACGGAATTAACTTTGAGCCACCATCAACAATGAGGAAACATAATGCTGCATTTGTACACTTAAAACTCTTTGCGGCACTTCGAATTTTTTGCACACCTAGCATTGAAAAAGTAAAATTGGTTACAAATCGACTCCATCTCTCACTTCCCCATCTAGACATAGTGGGGCGGCCCAACTGGCTCACATGAATCTCCCCTAAGAACATTTGTTTTTGTCCCGAATCCAGGGTCTAGGGAAAGAGCTCCCCCCTCGAGGGATGGCACTATTGGTTGAGTTGTTGGGGGATTTCCATATTGAAAACCAGAATTCATTTGTTCAAATCCAAGCATTTACATGCAAACTACTCTGAGTGAAGGTCACCTGCCCAGATCAAAGGCTTGAGCTTAATCAATTCATTAAACTTGTAAGATGTTTCATAGATCTCCAAGTAGTCCAGTCTCCATGTCCATGCCCCTAGATTACAATTTGTTTATATTTATTATCTTGTGATTTATACAAAGTTATGTTGCCCTTCATTTCTTATTTTAAATGACTTTTCTATTTATTTTTATGTCTTCTTCAGCAGGAAAAAAAACTAAAAAATGTAAAAATATATTGCCCGATGCCCATGTGGTCGACCTTTGCCGCGTCCATGCTTTCTCATATTAGGTGGACCTAAGCACTCAACTAAACTTGTCAAAATGGGTCATAAGCTTATTTATTAACCCATGTTTGATGGACTGGGTTATTAAATGGGTTAGTTATGTTCAGTAAAATGGGTTTAGAATGATAAAACCCAAAATAATATGGGTGTTAAATTGGGTTCATAACTTACTTAGACCTAATTCACCTCTATGATTCTTTCTCGCTCTCACTCAATCTCTCGCTTGCTCACTCCACGTTCTAACCTTAGTTTGGGTATGAATTTTCCTAGATTAAGTTATTAAATATGGAAGCGTTTTAACAATATGATCAAGTCAAGTATAGGTTAGGTGCAAGTTAGGTCAAACACGTGTTGCTAGATTTGCATTGCAGAGAAATTAGTCAAAACGGGTTATATGGGTCAATTTGGACTAGACAATTTTTAAACCAACCCACCCATTTGACAGGTCTACACTCAACTAGGCTCCCATGTTCGTGTCGAGACAAGTAGGGCAGGGTCTTGGAAGGCTCAACCCCAAGCGGACCCGACCCGTGCCCGTCCACCGATTCTACTCACTTTTAGCTCAAGACAGGTCATTGATATCAATAATGAAATGAGGTGTCTACCCGACCCGAGGCCGCCCGCTGAGTCTACTTATACCAATTCAGGCCTAATTCTAGTTCAAATTGAACACCTCAACCTTAAAAAGTCATGAAGATCGACATTTAGAGTCACGTGGAATTTCTCTGTCCATTTTGACGGGAATGTAGAGAAAAGTAATTGTTAATACTCAAGTCAAAACAACATTGCCTAAACCATAGAAAGTTTCGCTTGGAACCGCCGCATGCTGCGGTCGCTACAATGACCATTCTCGAAGAAATTTTGTCTTACAAAATAAACCAAGCGCAAATTTACCGCAACCGCGTGCAACTAGAAGGAATAGAAAGTGGCAATTTCGATATCCTTTGATCACTTTAGATTCTCCCCCGAGCTGACCTGACCCGTTGACATTCGCATCATGTCGACTTATATTTTTAAGGACTATGTTTTACTGCACCCTTACTCAATCGGAGGGTGAAATAGTTATATAAGAAGTCGAAGACCCATTCCACACTCCATGTTCCTCCAGAATGTCGATGCTTCCTCGCTCCTTCCTTTCCACCACCACCCCCTCCCTCCCTCCTCAGACGTAATTGTGCATTTGGATAGTTATATATACTTTCATTAAAGGAATAAGCAGCTTCTATAGTGCAAGATACTTTGAGAGATTTCCTACACGCATGCCCTTAAAGAGACTTTCCATCAGTGCATGATCTCTTGCAGTGATTCCGCTTCTTTCTTTTTTCTACATGGAAAATGGTCCACTCAGACATTCATTTACTGCGCACGGGCGATATAAATGCATATGATCATTGCTCCCTTGTCTCACAAGCTAGAGACCCCAAACACACGTCATAGAGAATGACCATGGAAGGTTTGCTCCAGTGCGCTGCGAATTACGTTCCCTTGACTCCCACAAGCTTCTTGGAGAGAGCAGCTTTCGTCCATGGCAACAAGACCTCCATTATCTACCGCGACACGAGGTACACCTGGAGACAAACCCACGAAAGGTGTTCGAAGCTCGCCTCCGCTTTAGTGATGCTGAAGATCTCGCGCGGCGATATCGTAAGTCTCTCTATCTCGTTTGCTTCGTCTTTAATTATATCCTTGTGTTTCCATGCAAATGAAAAGGGGTCCTCGCTTTCTTTGTTTTTTGCTTCTATTAGCTTTTAGTTTTCTTAAAGCTCATGGTTTAGAATGGAGGGAATTAGGTCACTGATCATATGGTCTTGCTGTGAGTAGCTATAAACCTAAGAAAAGTAGGAGGGACAAAGATCTTTCTAGAGATAGATTTTTCTTGACGGTACAATTCTCGGAGAGCTATTAACGACGGCATCGAGTTTATTTGCATTTTGCGCATATGAACCGTCGGATCAAGCGAACATCGCACCAGATGTACATGCACCAGATTGCTGTATTGGGTTTCCTTTTCTTTCCTCGTCCCCTTAGATGGTGTATCAAGAGAAGGAGAACCCACGGATGGAACCGTTCAATCTGCCAAATTAGGTCGAAATGAAGGAGGTCAAAGCGTTACCACGCCATTTCCGAGCTCCTCCATTGTTTATGTCATTCCAAAGAAGTCTATGCTGTGTGGGACAAAGCATTAACGATTGTCAACTACAACCACCACGAATAAAAAACTATATTCCACGGACCAAAACTTGAAAAAACTTTCTTGCCTCGCAAAGGAAAAACTTATAAAGGACCTAAGTAAGTCCTTAAAAGCTTTCGTCCCGGTCCTCATCCGGATCTCGAGATCACCGGGATATAAACTTCCAAAGGGTGTTCCCTCCTCCTAAAGAAAACAAAGATACAAAGGGGACAAAGATGTGCGGGCACCGACACATTAAAATAAGGAATGCATCCTTGGAGCCCACCTGACAAGAACGGGACAAGCCACAGAGGCCTCTCTATCCATTTCTTTAGTGAGGTTACCTCTTTACTGAACATCAAGGATCTAAGGGATAACAAATCTAAAAAAACCTTTCTAGCCTCGCAAAGGAAATATTTATAATACGTATCCTAGTTCATGTTAGTCCTACCTGAAATGAACACTAAGTGACTTGCCAAATTCAAGAGAAAGGATTGTTAAAAAAACACATTCTTGTTTGGATGAAGGGAAAGAAACGAAGTGAAAGGATTAGAAGAGTTTGGTAAAGTCAACTGTTGTGTACAAGGGCGTGTTTTGCATTCAAAACAAAAGCATAAAGAATTTTTTGCTTTCCTGCCAAAATTTGGAATACCGATCAAATTTTAGAAAATTATGATCAAATTACATGTGAAGTTATGTGTCTATACTTGAGTTTTTGGAAGTTTTAGGAGTTTCGGATTCGAAAAAATGGTCAAAGTGCGCGAATCGCAAGATAAAGATTAAGCAAACGGCAAAAAGTATAAGTCAAGACAAGCCCTAAATACGTAAATGATATCTATGAATGCATATCTGCCCTCTCTTTTCCCTCACTCGCATTCAAAGAACATTATAACCCAATCCCTTCAAATCCTTTCTCTTCTTTTCTGTCAGAATCACCTCACAATCCCATTTTTTCATTTCTAATCACCCCTACCCAACATAGTATCAAAGAGTACTACAATCTCGAAATCTATAATATTTTATATGCTATTAATAAATAACAAATTAGGACCCGTTGGTGGTTGGGTTAAAACTTGATAATAATCTCTTAATATGGAAATCTATACCATATACAGAACTAACAATACAAGACCTCCGATGAAACTAAACTTTGTTTAGTGAAATAATAATATTATAGCTAATTTCTTTGTATTTAAAAAGGATGAAATTTCCTAAAATGAATAGAAATTGCTCCAACTGACTAAAATTAGCGCAATACCCTTTAGTTTTTTTATATGAGTAAAAGTAAAATAGCATATGTTATTTCACTCTTTTATATCGATCCATTATGATCAACATTTTCTCTTCACACCCTATAATAATTGTTAAATAAATCGGTTGACCACGTTGACCCCTGCACCTCTCCGCGTTAGAATTCTAGCCTCGTCAACATTGCTTGTAAGAGGATAAACTCTCATTAGTCACTTGGAAAAGTAGACTGTCTTTTGTCTATTTATAATGTGAAAACACCCTAAAGTGCGTGTTCAATCCTCACGCACCCACCAAGAGGAGTCCCACACGTTTTGAATTTTGGGTCTACAGCTCACTTCCTATTAAGTCATTTTTGGCCGCGACAACGAACGCATTAATCGCCCGAATTAAAATGGCTTGCTTAATCGGAAAGCGCGTTTGTTCTCTCCCTTGATTTCGCGGTTTTTTCTTTCTTTTGGACCGAAGAGGGTCCCACTCAATTTATGAATTTAAATTTATATGCCTGCGCATTCTCTTGAAGTCATGTGTCACGACAACGCATTTACTTTGACCAGACCGAACTAGCGAGAAAAACAAGTTAGTGGCCCCTATATGTTGCCGTCATGTGCAGCATGTGATCTCATGAATCGTGGCATGTTTCCACCTCCGGAAAAAAAATTAAGTAAACGTGGCGTATACACCGGTGAAGGTGGACCTCGCATGAAATTCTCCTTAATTTGCTGGGGGCACAATTTACAAGTTAGAAGAATTGGAGAATTGTCCATCACGCTCTATACTCCCCGTGATTTTATTTTTTTTATTTTTGTTTTTGGTTAGATATTCCCCGTGATTGATTGAATATAGAATGGGGGCAGATGTCATCATATTCCAATCAGTCTCCTTGACTCGAAGGAGTTAAAGGGCAGTCAACCTTTTCACCCCTGACTCATAGCTAGGCAGTTCATTTTTTCTATCTCTTGCGTAAGGAAAGGCTAAAGGGGAGTCTTACAACTTATGTGGGTCCCACACTTTAGTCCTAAGTCTTCTTTTCGTTGCAATAAATCTTACAAATGATTTGGTATGCATGATCGAAAGGTGACCTCTACTCCTCTAAGTCAATGCTACCAATTGGTACACACCGAACCATTTTGTAAAATTTGTACAAGATCACTGTCAATTATTTTAAAAAATCAAGCTATTTTAAATATTGTAACACTTCCCTTCATACATAGGCTGGTATTTCACCTAAGACTAATGGGTGAAATAATAATAGGCAAAGAAAAGGTCCGAAAAGATTTGGACTCAAAACATCCTACTCTTTTACTAATATATAAAAACTCTATGAAGCCACTAGTACGTAGATTTCAGTGTGCAGTAGTTTACTCCAAATATGGTGCACATGTTAGAATATTCAAATATCAAATCACGCTTTTATTTAACATCTTAAGTTTTTAAAATAGTTGATTGTGATCCAACAAAATCTCAACATTCTATCAAAATAGGATGTCCTAAAATTCACATATTACAGGCCTCTATTTGCCTCACAAACTACATATTTCCACACTTCAGGTTTAGGCCAAAGTTCAGCTTACGTGTGATAGGAAATGTTAAAATATTTAAATATTAAATCATGCTTTCATTTAACAGCTTAAACTTTTAAAATAGTTGGCTATTGTTCCACAAAACTCTCCCTCACGCAATGGGTTGGTTAGACGATAAAGGCCTTAAGCATAGATCCCAACATGTGAGTCCCATGGGCAAAGGATTATTGAAATCTAAGGCTTATAAATAAGGGAACCGATGAACAGGTGAAAAGGGCATGTTGCTGTTTTACTAGAAAATCGCTTCCTCAAAATCTTTCAAGAAAGGAACAAAAACTTGATGATTAGGTTCTAAAACTTATGTAATAAATTAACTAAGTATAGCACATTATTTTTTAAGAATACAAGCAAGTATTTTATTAACATAAACCAACTGGAATGACTGGAAATAAATTACTGAGAAATGACTAGAAATAAGTAAAATGCATTGACAAAAGTAAAATCTTATTCTTCGAATGTTTGTCAGTGTCTTTTCCTCTTTAGTGTTCTCCTTTTATGGTGCATGAGTAGCTGGCCTCTTCTAATAAGTGTTCTCGCTCATTTAAATTTGATTTTGGTTGACTCAGCTATATAAAGTGCTTGACTACAACCGTCAGTCGATACCTTTCATAACTATTCTTGTCTGCAGTAATTACTCCCAGTATTTTTATCCTTACATTCGAATTGATTTCAGCCAAGGTTCATGAGTCGATGTCAATGCTTCTCAACTCGATTGACATTGATTTAATCAAAATTGACTCGATTGTTAGCCAATGGACAAAATTCTTACCTTGTCCACTTAATCCTATTGGCTTCTCACAGCCAATGTTGGTGTTTGAACACTGACTATATTTATAGTCGATATCATATCACATATGCTAGTCAACATATTGTTTACTCCTTCCTTGTTGACACCCTATATATTCTATTAATTGGTCAATATTCATAGTTGGCCGAGACCTTGTTTAGTTGGCTACGGTCCGACTTAAAAGATTGCTCTTGGTCTCAATGGTCTTAGCACTTTCTCATCAAAGCCATAGTTGATGTACAGTTAATGGCATCAATTCTTATGAACTTCAACTATGACATCAAAGTTGACATTAGTTTGCTAATAATCACAGACTATATTTAATATTTAAACAGTTTTACATATGTCTGACCTCCCTCCTTTAATGTACCCATTACACCAATTAATATACATATAAGCAAGGCAATCCGGGGTTTCACCCTGTGGATGCAAACCACCATTGCATTTCCAAAACCTAATACCCTTGCTTTGCCATCCAAAATGACACACGGTACTGGAGATGCATGATAAGAGTTTCGGGGAGTTTTTTTCATAATGATCACAACTACCGAATTTCTACCTTTTCTCCTTTCGTTTTATGAGATGATAAAGCAGAAATTATCAAGACATTAATCATGTGTAGTTAGAAGTCATGGTTTCAAAAGAAGGAAACAATGGTTTTCATTCTGGTGAGAGGTGATGCGCACTCGAAAGGATAGCAGTTATTGTACTTTCATTACATTGTACTTTCCTCGGCTATCTAATATCTTATGAAGACTAATAAGACATAAACGGAGAATATAAAAAATGTTAAAGTTAGATATTCGAAAGAGAACTAATTTGAGACACGTCAAAATCTATAAAGGATTTCCAAAGT